TGTATGAAAGCTCCATTGGTGTGATCCCTGTACCCCATCTTATGCACAATTCTTATCGCTCTTTTTTGTAATATATATAATGGTTGAAGTGAGCTTTTGTATGTATTTCCCCAGTTTTCAACGTCATACTCTAAGTATGGTAAAATCAATGAAGAATACAAAATGCGTAGTGCTTTCCCATCCAAAATATATCTAACCCTTGCCAATATCGATATATTTTTTGCTATTTTGTTCTGAACATATCTGATATGCGATTTCCAGGAGAATTTGTCATCAACTATGACACCTAGAAATTTAATTTCATATACTCGTTCTATATTAGCTCCCCCAATTTTCAATTGAAGTTCATTATCTAGTCTACGATTCCCAAATACCATAAATTTAGTTTTATCCAAATTCAGAGATAGTATATTACTATCACACCATTTCTTTATCTTCTCAAGTTCCTGTGTAACCCGTCCAGAGAGTTGCTGTAGGTTTTCACCCGATGCCCATATGGTAGTGTCATCAGCAAACAAAACCACTTTCACTAAATCAGAAACCTTGCTTTTATCATTAATGTATAGTATAAATAATTTAGGTCCCAAAACAGAACCCTGAGGCACTCCACATACAATGTCCAGCTCACTCGATTGGTATTCACCCAACTTCACAAATTGACGCCTCTGTGTCAAGTAACTTCTAATCCAGTTCAAAACCAATCCCCTGATCCCATATTTTTCTAACTTATCCATTAATAACTCATGATTGATTGTGTCAAATGCTTCTTTTAGGTCAATAAATATTCCCATCGTGTATTTCCTCTCATCCATAGCATTTCTGCCGTAACATCAATTCTATTCTTTGCTCATCCATCACTGTCTGTATTGGACAGCAACCAAACAGGATAGAAATGCCAATGCAGTTGCTTTCTTTACATTAATGTTACGAAGGGCTCGCTACACATCATGTGTTTGTAAGATGAGAGGCTGAGAGTTGTCCAGCACCTCCAGACCAGGCAATGTTTCATTATTTTCCTTGTTGAACCGCTACAAAGATGGCTTTTGCATTAAATGTAGTTCTGTGACTCTTGCAACCTGATGGCTGTTTTGACAGATAGTAAGTGATAATTAAAGGTAACTTTAATATATATAGCCTAGATACATATTGCTCTTGTCTGGTCAATGATCAGGACCTTGTTTCAAAGGTCACTGTCGGTAGAACACTATGCCGTCATGGTTTCAAATCATGCATTGCACGGAAGGTTCCCCTGCTCAAGTCATCACATGTCCAGGCCCGTCTGAAGTTTGCCAAAGACCATCTGGATGATCCAGAGGAGGCATGGGAGAAAGTCATGTGGTCAGATGAGACCAAAGTAGAACCTTTTGGTCTAAACTTCACTCGTCGTGTTTGGAGGAAAAAGAAGGATGAGTTGCATCCCAAGAACACCATCCCTACTGTGAAGCATGGGGGTGGTAACATCATGCTTTGGGGGTG